TGAGCTTCCTGTACTAGGATGTCTCTGTCCTTCTCCAAAGCTGGGAAATTTATTTTTTTACTTTCTTTTTTTTTTATTTAGTAAATATAAATTTTCAAAGGACAGTTAATGGATTACAATGGCTTCCCCCCCCAATTTCCCTCCCACTCACACCCCTCCCATCCCCCGCTTCTTCTCCCATTCTATTCACATCAAGATTCATTTTCTAATTATCTTTATACACAGAAGATCAATTCAATATATATTAAGGAAAGACTTCATCAGTTTGCACCCACACAGAAACACAAAGTGTAAAATACTGTTTCAGTACTAGTTATAGCATTACTTCACATTGGACAACACACTAAGGACAGATCCCACATGAGAAGTAAGTACACAGTGACTCGTGTTGTTGACTTAACAATTTGACACTCTTGTTTATGATGTCAGTAATCTCCCTAGGCTCTAGTCACGAGTTGCCAAGTCTATAGAAGCCCTTTGAGTTCACCGACTTTGATCTTATTCAGACAGGGTCATAGTCAAAGTGGAAGTTCTCTCCTCCCTTCAGAGAAAGGTACCTCCTTCTTTGATGGCCCTGTTCTTTCCACTGAGATCACTCGCAGAGATCTTCCATTTAGGTCTTCTTTTTTTTTTAGTTGTCGCCAATCAGGGAGAACATATGATATTCGTCCCTTTGGGACTGGCTTAATTCACTCAGCATAATGTTTTCCAGATTCCTCCACCTTGTTGCAAATGACCGGATTTCGTTGTTTTTGACTGCTGTATAGTATTCTATAGAGTACATATTCTATAATTTCTTTATCCAGTCTACTGTTAATGGGCATTTGGATTGGTTCCAGGTCTTAGCTCTTGTGAATTGAGCTGCAATAAACATTAAGGTGCAGACAGCTTGTTTGTTGGCCAATTTCATTTCCTTTGGGTAAATTCCAAGGAGTGGTATGGCTGGGTTGAATGGTAGGGGTATATTCACGTTTCTGAGGAATCTCCAGACTGACTTCCATAGTGGCTTAACCAATTTGCATTCCCACCAACAGTGGGTTAGTGTCCCTTTTTGCCCACATCCTCTCCAGCATCTGTTGTTGGTAGACAAACCCGGGAAATTTTCTGCTAGTATCTCACTAAAAAGGCCTTCTAAAGCTGAGCAAGACAAAGACAAAGAGCAGGTGCCATTTTGGACATAGGTAAAGCACCGCCTGCCATCAGCCAAGCAGAAAAACCTGACTCTGGTGGGGAGAAATTACAGAAGGTTAGGACCTTTCTCCCTCTCCATGCCTTCAGGAACTCCTAAAACCTGAATGTTGGGTTTTTTAATAGTATCCTGTAGATTCCCGACAATATTTTTTTGATTTCTAAATTCTTCTTCTTTTCTTCGGTTTGACTGTATACCATCCTGTTCTCTGTCTTCTATGTCTGATATTCTCTCTTCTGCTTCACTCATTCTGTTAAGGCTCTCTAATGTGTTTGTCATTTGATCTATTGAATTCTTCATTTCATTATGATTTCTCTCCACTATCACAGTTTCATGTTCTACTAGTTGCTTCATTTTATTTTGATTCCTCCTTAATACTTCATTTTCCCAAGAGAGATTTTCTATCCTGTCCAGTAAGGATTTCTGTACTTCAAGAATTTGTTTTTGAGAACTTCTTAATGTTCTTATCAATTTTTTGAGATCTGCTTCTTGCATTTCTTCTATCTCATCTTCTTCATAATCTTGAATTTGGGTGTCTTGTTCATTTGGGGGCATCATAGTGTCTTCCTTGTTATTGTTTCCTCGGTTTCTGCATTTGTTTGGCATTGTGGAGATATTCTTTGGTTTCTTCGCTGTAGTGGTTTTTTCTCGATATACTATATCTCTAGATCAAGTGGACTGTCTGCTTTTGATGGATCCTTAGAGGCTGTGATGGGTGTGGCCAGAGAGCTCTGATTGGGTCTTCAGGGTTAAAGGTGTGCCAAAGGTGATTCACCCAGGTTGTTCTCTCTCTCGCTTGCTCTTTTTTTTTTTTTTTTTTTTTGACTCAGAAGGGAAGTAATTTCACACAGCTGAGTGGAATTGAGGGTAGTCAATGTATGAAATCCGGCCCCTGTGGGTATTCATCTGCTGTACCCCAAGGATCACACAAAGGGTCTATGCAGCCTTCAGTGTGGTCTCAAATTTCTCTGCAGTCTCCCACCAAGTTGCCACGGTTACCAAGTTTGTGTACTCCATGAGTTTTGTCGCCCACTCTCAGATTTTCACAGTCTCAGTTCATTAGCTCCACACCTTCACTAGGTCCTAACCTCCTGTAATTTCTCCCCACCAGAGTCAGGTTTTTCTGCTTGGCTGATGGCAGGCGGTGCTTTACCTATGTCCAAAATGGCACCTGCTCTTTGTCTTTGTCTTGCTCAGCTTTGTAAGGTGAGTGGAGAGAGAGGCTCACGACCATGCCAGTTCCCCTTATTTACTCATTTTTTCCTCTCCTCCAGTCAGCCTGGTGACCTTTCCCCAGTGGGGCTTCAAGCCTTGTTCCCTCTATGCTCTTTCTGTTGTTTCCCCACCAATGTCTTGGGTTACTGAGATTTTTGTCTCACCTCCCCTTCCAGCACTGGTGCTCAGACTCTGCCACTGGGCTTCCACCGTGGGCGTCCTTGCTCTCCCCGTAGGTCCTCCATGTCACATACACTAGATCCAGAAGAGTTTCCACTGCAATTTTTTCCCCGAGCCTTTCCCTGAGACTACAGTTACTCCACTTGTATTAAACTATTTTTTCCCAGACTATAAGTGCGCGCCCTCAATATTCCGCCATCGTGGATCTGCCCCTATTTTTTTTTATATATTCATTTGACAGGTAGAGTATTAGACAGTGAGAGAGACAGCGAGCAAGGTCTTCCTCCCACTGGTTCACTCCCCAAGTGGCCGCCATGGCCAGCGCTGCGCCGATCCGAAGCCAGGAGCCAAGTGCTTCCTCCTGGTCTCCCATGTGGGTGCAGGGGCCCAAGGACTTGGGCCATCCTCCACTGCCTTTCTGGGCCACAGCAGAGAGCTGGACTGGGAGAGAAGCAACTGGGACTAGAACCCGGCACCCCTATGGGATGCTGGTGCCACAGGCAGAGGATTAACCAAGTGAGCCATGGCACCAGCCCCGTCAGTGATATTTCTTAGTATTTCCTTAAGTCAGGCCCTGCGTTGCCTGACAAAAGAGAAAACAGAGACAAAATTGCTCTCTTGCAGAACATGCAAGACCTGTGGAAGCAGTATGTTGAGATTAAGTGGACTACATCTCAGCTGCATATGCCCGATTAATGGGAACTGTAATTATTACATTATTATTTATTTATTTACATTATTTATTTATAAATATTTATTACATTATTATTATTACAATATTACCTTATTTTTATTATTTATTACAGCCTCAGGAAACAGGAAGGCAGCTTCCTCATGGAGAACAGTTCATTGCACCTCCAGGTCACATTCACTTGATGCAGTTTACATTTCACACCCTGCCTGACCTCCTTCTTTACTGAATGGTAATGAAGGGAGGAACTTGGGTCATGAATGAGCACAGGCAACACAGCTGCCCCTCAACCTGCGCATCCGCCACACTGCTGGGTGGCCCTAGTGTGCTCTTACATGGCCAAAAATCAGGAGGGAGGCAGGTTATTTGCTAAGGGACCAAGACCTGGCTCTTCCATCTCCCTAGGAAGTTTATCATGGGAGTAATGGAAGGAGCATCACTCAGCACAGTGACAATGACAAAGTCTACTTGGCTTTTCCTGTGGGACACTCCCACTGGGACTCAAACTTTATTCCCAGAGAACTTCAATAGGTTTATAATCTTTGGTTAATAAACAGTGAAACCGAAATCTATCCATATTTTTAGAAATTGTTGAGAGAAATTTTTTTTGCAGCAAACTGGAACAAGGTTCTTAAACATCTAAATGTTTTTCTTAAAATATGACTCAGTAAAAAAATTGTGAAACTTTGTACACATTTATTGTCCTTTTACTGAAAACGTTTCATTAAGATCATTTGTGTCTTCAATGAGGAATGAGAACTCTGGACCATACACTAATTTCATGTCTGCAGATGCTTTGAATATATCCTAAAGACATCAATACTTTTGTACTGTCTATTGTGCTGGCTCAGACAGTATTTATCAAAATTATTTTTAAAATAGTTTCTTCCTAACAACTCCTTTCAGTGATAAATTGTACCATGTTCTGTTGTCACCCCTGCCAGCTTATTGGTGTCGATTTATTTTAATCATAAATTCCAACATGGGTTCCCAGTGTCCATAGGGGAAAAATCGTAGAGCCAAACACTCTGCCTATTACCTGAGATTCTGTTTGGACCCACGGGAGGCACAGCTGTCTGTACCTGGTGCACAACCCTGCACCTGCACCAGGCCGTGCAGGGTACAGATGAGGATTTCCTAAGAGCCCCTGACAGGATACAGGAAAGGGAGAGAATACAGTGGCTTCTGTCATTCTGCTTGGGAAAGGAGAGCTCTGTTCCCACTGAGGTGTCCTGCTTAGACTCCCTCCCTTCTCCAGAAATGAGCAAACACCAAAAACCAGAGGCTGTGGTAGGTAACTCAGCATCCAGACACCCCCACAGAAGCTCGTCCCTCCTCTTCAGCTTGGAGTTCAGAGTCTGGGAACATCCCTATATGTACCCACAATCCCTGTGGCACAGGATGGAGCTAGGGTGCTCTTTCTCCTACAGGGTGCTGTGGAGGAGGGCTCAGGATGGCTACCTTTCAGAGGATGGGCATGAGGACAGAAGGAAGGACAAAGGGTTTGCACAGCTGTGTAGGCTCCATTTGCACTCCCTTTGTAAATCCTATACAGTCCTTCTATTCACATCTACTGAGCTCGGGCTCTGGTCACCTTGACCTTCAAGAGACATGAGAATGACATCCTATCAGTCTCATGAATCGCTTGCCAGTCAGACTGATTCTCTGATCCTGAGGCTGTGCAAAATGTAGGCAAAGTAAATCCCAACAAAAGCACCACATTACCTTGAACCAGCCTGTGACCTTGGACCAGTCACCTCCTTTCTCTGACACAGAATTCTGTCAGCAGACAAAAGGGCGTGGGTGACTTGTATGAATCTGAGGCACCAGCATGTCACCTTGCTCTCTTCTGGGTCCACCTGCAGTTGTCACAACAGCTCAGTTTCTCTCTGCGGGAGTAATGCATAGCTACAGTCCATGTGGCTAACTATTGCTCAACAACTTACTGTATGCGGCAGAGAGGGCTTCATGGGATGCACCTGGAGGAATCTTGGTGCCCAGCACCAAGACTCTGCACTGTGGAGCAGGTCCCTGCTTTCCAGGGCAAGGACAGACCCTGTGTGCATGTTGGTCCATGTTCACCAGCCCATCTCCACCCAGGTCCTCCAAGGGGAGGTCCTCCCTGTGCCCCAAAATTTCCAACATTCCCCCTTCAGCGGTGGTGAGCCCTGAGCACTCACCTTGTTTCCAGCAAAGTCAGTCCTGGGGTCCAACTGAGAAAGACCATCCTGGCTCCTGCCCTCCAGAAGCTCATAGTCTGCAAGGAGAGGGAGACAAAATCTTCAAAATAAAAATAGCAGGAATCAAAGAGCAAGTGCTGTAACATAGTGAAGGTTCTGCAAGAGTGCTGAGCCACTTCATGGGAGATCTGAAAGGTCTACACTTAGGGACAGTTATGCTGGGGCAGACGAGAAGAGGAGCCCGCTCTGCACAACGCTGACAGCAGTGTGCTGGGGAGGCTCCACTGTGTAGATTCCAGTGCAGAAGTGAGTTTGCCCAGAGAGGAGGTTAGGAAGGTGGCCAGTGGGACTGAGAGCTTGGACGGGGAGGAGGAGAGGATGGAGTAGAGCCAAACCTGACTCTGGAGCAGGTGCACTGCCCTCAGAAACCATGAACTCAACTGTGTTCATTTACAACAACTGTGATGATCTCACGCTTTCACTGCCCCACAAGTCCAGTGATACTCACCTCAAGGCTTCTGCCACAGAGGCTCTCAGGAGTAGGGGCTGTGGCCTCAACAGAAGCTCAAATAGGGAAGGATTTAGGGGGACTGGCAGGATTTAGTGTGGACTGAGCACAGAGTTCCCCACTCTGCTGTCCTTGCGAGGATCTGAGACACACAGCTTACCCAAAGGCAGCAGATATCCTAGTGACCCATCTCTAATGACAGGAGACTAACAGATGGTGGGCAGAAAGACGGAGGAGGAGGAGGATAAAGGAGAGGAGGGGAAAGACAAAGAGGAGGGGAGGAGAGAGAAGGAATGAACTGAGAAGAAAAAGGCTTTACTCTCAGTCCTTTCACATCTAAATCTCGCAGATGACATCTCATCCTATCAACTAGAAGAGAGTCCCTAGCTGAATACACACTTCAGGACAGGGGACTACATGGGAAACTGCACCAGGAGGTGAGGGGAGCTGGGAGCTGCTAGAAGTCTGCCCACTGTGCCAGTTTTGGTGGCCTGGATTGAGCCATCAATTTCACGGTGAGCATCCCACATAGAAACCTGGTTTGAGTCCTGATTAGCCCGCCTCTGATTCAGCTTCCTGCTAATGTGCCTAGGAAGGCAGCAGAAGATGGCCCAAGTGCTTGGATCCCTGCCAACCACATGGGAGTCCCAGATGAGGGCCCTGGCTCCTGCCTTCAGCCTGATTTGATCAATTTCAAGCCACTCATGATACAGACAAACGATGCAAAGGAAGAAGGTGGATAATGCCAAGCTCACATAACAGGAATCAGGTCTGCTTTTCAGTTCTACAAGATATTTTGAAATCATCAGACAACAAGGGGATTGGTGAATCATGTGCACTCCCCACGAATGAGTCAAAGACCCTGTATCCCATGTGATCTGACACCCTCTTCTGTATTTAGCTCTACTTTTTGCATTAGATACATAGGACACCAGCCATAGGCTCACTCAGTATTGTCACTTGTATACCTGATGACACCCCTAGAGTAGATTCTAGAATGATCCTACAATGCTGCTGCTGAGACTGGGGGTGTCCCAAGGGGCACAGTAACCAATTCAGGGTTCCACCCTGGTCAAAGTCAGGAAATCTGGAAATAAGGTTCCATGTGTCTGCCACTGTGGTAGCAGCCAGGAAGTCCATAGGTCCTGCTCAAAGGGGGCACTGGTGTCACTGTGTAGAGAAACAGAGACAGAATGGGACAGCAGGGTGGGAATACATTCAATCCCAGCGTGGTTTGGGGACTTCAGATGGGAGAAGAGGGGTGAGATAAGGAAGCCCCAACTGTTACCGCGCCACTTAGCAACAGGTCACAACAGATCCTGTAACCCTGGTAACCAGGCACGAACATTCTAGAGAGAGGCCCCTGCGCAGCTCATTTAGCGAGAGACGCTTGACAGAACAAGATGTTCTCTTGTTGTGTTCCCACTTCTCGAGGCCGTGGCCCGAGAAACCCGCGTGATGAGGGGTTGTGGCAGCGATTCCAACGTTGGTTCTCGCCTCACCCCCACCACACCCAGCCTTGTAGCACACGGCAACCACAGGTAACTCAGGACCACCCAGGATAAAGCTGTTCAGGCCAAGACTTCATGGCGAAAGCACCTGGGCTGCCCCAAAACACCTTTATTGGGGAGGGGGAAATAGTATGTGAGGGGAGGGCCTATCATGTGGTAGGTGGTGGTCAGGCTGGGAGGCCTTAACCTGGTGGTGCTGTCTTCTTCACAACTCAGGTCATGGCTGGCAGAGCGGAAAGAAATCCTCTGGGCACTCATAGCTGCCTAGATGTTATTTCACATCCCGCATGCCAGCACATCTCATCCTCTAGGGGGTTTTCTGTGATGCAAGGTCCATGTGGTCAGGAGAAGAGGAGGTCCCGAGGGGCAGAAACAGAGGGAAAGGGACCAGGCAGGGCCCTGATGCTTGCTCTGCACCTGCCGGGCACTGTCTTTCCAGAGCTCCAAGCACAACAGAGGTCAGAAGTTGCTGAACAAGGTCCTGTACTCCATCTCCCGCATGGAGAGACAGGAGGCCAACAGAGGCCGCTGTTGGCCCAGGGTGAGTAGGAGTGCAGAGGGGGTTCCACATCCTGGCCCCGATGCCACCTGCTTCTTGAGGGTCTTAGATGGGTGTTCGGTGGGGTAGGCAGAGCGCCATCAGTGTGATGCAGGACAAGAATCAGTGATGGCTTTGGCATTGGTTTGAATTCCAGCTCCTACATTTCTGGTGGCTCCTGGAGCTTGCACTGACTGTGTGTCCCTCCTTTCTCCTAACCTAGGTGAAAAAGCCATCTAAACTGATCGAGTATGATGCCCACATTGGGTGGAGGGCCCAGGAGGACACGCTGCAGAAGCTGGTGGACCGCCTGGTGCCTGCCTTCCTGGGTTTTGAGCCCTTGTATGTTCCCACCTTCCTGAGAACCTACAGAGCTTTTGCCACCACTGGGCAGGTGCTGAACGCACTGTTAGGAAGGTCAGTCTCCCAAATCTGCAGGCCACCTCAACCTGTGAGTCTTGGCAAGGTCACGCCACCTTCTCCTTATTTTCCCCTCCCTGAAAGGAAGTTCTTGCTTTAGCATTTTATGATTCTCTGAAATTGAGCTGAATGGTTCAATAATTTTTTTTACATATTCCTTTGAGAGAGGGACAAGGAGTAAAAATTCTTCCATCTGCTGTTCCTCTATAGAATTTCCCTGAAGAGATGAGCTAAGAGAGACTGTAGTCAAAAACCAAGAACTCAATACAGACCTCCTACATGGGTGATAGGGACCCTAGGACTAAGTCACAACCTGCCCCCATGGGTGCACATTCATGGTGCACTGGATTGAAAGTGGAATGAGGACTCAAACCCAGCAGCTTGGATATGGGAAGGGAGTATTTCTAGGGACATACCACTGCATCAAATGTTCATGCAAAGTTAAACTGTTTCCCTATTTGCTGAGCTGGGTCCAGACTCCATCCACTTGTTTTTGGGTTGAACCAGACCAAGGATATGTGATGAGAGCTGGAGGACTGCAGACCTTCAGCTTCCTTTGAAACAAGCTAGTTGGAGTTTCCTCCTGCCATGGTGGACATGAAGTCACACGATCAGCAGGACCTTTCTAGGCAGTGACCTTGATCCAAAGCCCAGGACAGATGCCAGTCCCTGCTGGACTTCCCTTCTTGGTGGACCCAGACACGCTCACTGACAGAGGGTGCCAACCATGGGGCCAATGTGATACCGTCCTTGCCTCCTCTAGGTTCCCATGGTTCTCTCCTACTGCTGAAGGTGTACTCCAGGACGCAGTCAAACAGTGAGTGGTGTGGTGGAGGTGGAAGGACCTAGTTTTTGACAACATTGGGCTGGAAGTGTGGGGTCTGTGCGTTGCATGCAACTAGAAGGAGTCTTGGATCCGAACCTCCTGTGATGTTCTTGCAGAGCTGAGGTCTGTGTGGTGCCCTGTACAAATGAACCAACCAGAGAGCTGGGACTGGGCCACAGGCACTGTGGGGCAGGGAGTGGTAGTGGGAGGACAAGATAAAGCCCTGAGGGAATCCAGCACCACCACCTCTCATCCAAACCTGCTTTCACCATCAGTCCATCCTGGGACCCAGAGTCAGAGTGGGGGCATCCTGCTCACAAATATGGCCGCAGTCCCACAGTGAGGCATGATGGGTGCTCAGAGGTTGCAGCCAGTGCCCAGGGGTCAGGCACTTCAGGAGATGAGCAGCACTGGGAAGAGCAGACCCATTCACTGTGCTGTCAGCACTACCACTTGAGGATAGTAGCACAGGCCTCAGAAGCCTGGGACAGAGGTTGCACTCCTTGCTTCCTCCTGCTTCAGTTACTTAGGTAGCACCTACTGAGTGCCAGAGAGTGAGTGAACCAAGCAGACAACATCCCACTCCGTATTTGTGGAGCTGGCATTCTAGGGAGGACAAGACACAGACAATAGTGTGCAACAGTGTGTTTCACTGTAAAGGGATATGTGGTGACACCATGGTCAAGGGCTCCCTCTCATAGGGCCATTTGTCAGTCCCCCTTCAGGGACCAGGGCTCTATCCTGCCTGTTTTCCAGTGGCATGAGCTGGGTCAGAGCTATGGGAGGCACTGAAGCCCCATCTGTATCTTGGGAAAATGGTGCAGCCTGAAGGGCCAGGCCTCTCACTGGACTGCCCACCTGCCTCCCCCAGTGCTATCTCGACCATCCTGGCCACCTGGCTGGAGCAATACCCGCAAGATTTTGATCATCCCCCACAGTACACCAGTCTGCACGTGCTGCTGGACTATGCACAGCTCATCCTGCGTGACTCAGAGCTGGGGCACCGTGTGCAACTCCTCCTGGGACGATTGCAGCACCCGGAGCCCACTGAGGCAGAACTAGAGGGTGAGCAGGACGGGGATCAGTGCATGTGAGTGCACGGGGAGGTGAAGAGTTTGGGTCACACTCAGAAAAGCTTCCAGAACCAGGGGTGGGGCTAGGAGCAACAAGGGATCCTGATGACTAAAATGGAGGCCCAACTTCCTGAAAGTCATTCAGGAAGCAGAATTTGGGTCAAAGGTTTCCCTGAGAGTCGGAGACAAGGTTTTGTCTCTGGAAGGCACATGAAAAGTCAGGCCTGCTGCTGATATGTTCTCCTCCTGTGATTCCAGGGCCAGCGGAAGCTCCAATTCCACAACAAGAGCTTGTGCCACCTCCATCTCTGTTGCCAGATGGAGCCCCACAGCCAGAACAGGCTCGCATACCAGCTCTGGAAACCTCCAGGGAGCTCACACCAGACCCCACCGTGGCACTAGCTCCAGAGTGCCAGGGAGCTCCAGCAGCTCCTCCTGTAGAGCCAGTGAATGCCGCAGAATCAGATCCAGACCCCACCGCAGTCTCGGATCTACTGCAACCTTCTAGGCAGGAAATGCCTGTTGCCGAGTCCCAAGACCTTGAGCTCTTTGCAGCTCCACAGCTGGCACCTGTCCCTGGGCCAGCGCTCACAGCCCCCTCCCTTACTACACAATATGTAGTAATGTTCATCTTTCTCCTTTACCTCCGCATAAGAAATTACTATTCTGTATACTATAAAATTCGCTTTTAATAAAATATACTATTAACTTTTTAAGGTATTCCATAGTAACCACTTTAATTAATGCTGTGTGTCCATCACCACTGTGTCACTCTGGAACCTTTCATCCATCTGTACTCCCCAAGTCATTGCCCCCAACCGTCCAGACCTAATCCCTGGCAATCTCTTCACTCTCTGTCTTCAGGCCTGTACCTACAAAGGATGTCACATATGCATGCACTAACATAGCAACTGGCTTCTTCTTTCTTGACACTTAGCGTGAAATGTGCTTCTGACATCTTATTTTATCATAATTTTTTTTAGTTATTTGAAAGGCAGAGATCAGAGAGGGGGAGAGAGAAAGATGGATAGAGAGAGACATGTGGAGGGTGGGAGAGAGAGAGAAAGAGGTCCTCCGTCCTCTCACTCACACCAAAATGGCACAATGGCCGGGGCTGGGCCAGGCAAAGCCAGGAGCCAGGAGCTTATTCCAGGTCTAGCACGTGGGTGAAGGGGCCCATACACTTGGGCCATACTCCACTGCTTTCCTTGGAGTATTAGCATGGAGCTGGATCAGAAATGGAGCGGTAGGAACTCAAATCAAAGCCCAAATGGAATGCTGCCGGTTAAGGTAGCAGCTTAACCTGTAGTGTCACAGTGGCCAAATTTCTTTGTTTTAACCAAAATTATTTAAAAATAAAATCCCAGAGATATCCAAGTTTATATGTTAAAAATCAATCATCAATAGTAAATATATTCATAAACTCCAAGGAACAGGAAACCTCACTTCCTCTGTGTGGAAGGGATGTATTAATTCTGTTCCACCTGTGCTAGGGCATCCTTGCACCTGTTGAAGTGATTGGGCTGGGTCAACCTGTGCCCACATGGACAGTGCCATGGGAAAAACAAGTTCCTGGTCAGTCCGCAGTGAGGATCTTATCTAGCAACAGGTACATAAGCAAACATGCATCCAAAAATATATACATGTCTGCATTTAGATCAATTTATATGAGAGAGAGATTGAGACAGAGATAAATGATGAGACAGACCGAATCTGAGAGATGCGACCAAACCACTAAGAGTGATCTGCTCGGGTATGTGGAACTTTCAAAATCCTTACTATCACCTTGATTCATTATCTCAATGTTTTTGAAAAGAAGTGCATTTTGTGGTATTACAAGGAACAATGCGTTGTATTAGCAAGTGTCCGCAATATTCACGATTTATGAAATTCAAGCTCTCAGCTCGTCTGAACTTTCAGCATTTTTGACAAAGACAAGAACTATTTCATCACTAAAGCAAGCAGACCAGTTTGACAGCAAAACAAAATAAAGGATGATGTGGTCTTTTCACTCACAAGTGTTGCTCACTCTACGAGTTACTCTCCCATCCTGTCCTCATGGTGAGGTGCAGGCCTGTCTGCCTTGCTTAGGTGGGGACACAACACGGCCATGTGCTCCACTGCCATCTCCTGTCAGCTTGCGGTGAAAACAGTTGGTTTCCTGTCCCTTGTGCACCTTCATCAGCCACACAACTCACTCAGTAGACCCTGCTGTGCAATCCTGGACTCTGCCAATTTTCCACTCCCAGAATATGCTGAAGGGCGCTCATGCCTTTCTGAATATCGAGTTTTTAGTATGGATGCCTAGAAGTGAAACTTCAAATTGCACACATTTCCAAACTGCTGCCTTCAGGTTTTCAGTTTCTTCCAGCAGTTGGAGCCCTGTTGGAGAAAACAGGAGCTGCAGGGACACTGACAGTAAGCCCTGAGAGTCAGAGGGAGGTGGACAAGCCAGCAGTCGTGGCTCCCACTGTACCTGGAAAGGACAACAGGACAGGGGAAGGCCCCACTCAGCCCCTAATGAATCCTGACCCAGCTCTCAACACAGCAGACGTGAGGGGAAGCAGGAGAGGCAGGACTTGCCACTCTGCCTGATTTCTCTCCCTGCTAGCAAGTAGCCATTTCTTGTCACTCAGGAAACTACACTAGGAGGAAGTCATCAAATTATGGAGAGCACTTTGAATGTGCAGGCACGAGGTCACATTCTCAGCTGCAACACCAGGACCCACGTGAACTTGTCTGAGCACAAGTGTTCATGACAAAGCATACTTGGTAGGTGCTTAGAGAAATCAATGGGCAGATCACAGTCACACAGAGGCTTACAGCTGAGAACAGCACTGAATTACCACCAGGCCCTTCCCGTATTGACCTTTGTCACTACCGGGGGCCAGCCACTGACCCTGGTATTCCTTATGCTCAACCTCTGCGTGGGTGTGTCCCTGCATCTCTCAGGACTCCAAATTAGGAGGAAGACAGCACTTATCTCCCCCCATGGAGATCAGAGGAGTCCACCTGGTGTGGGACTACTTGGTGAAACCAAGATCAGCACATCCTCTCTCTGGGGCTGACAGTTTAAGAATGCTAAGTTTGCTGTGTTGTAAATTCTGGCTTCATTCAAAGACACTGAGATATTGTCTGTGTCTGGAAAGGCACACAGACTTGTTGTTATTTGAAACAATTTCATCTGCTGTAGCTCCAGCATCAGCTTTAGCGCCAGTCACAGAGCCCACCCATGGCTGGTGCCAGCTCCACAGAAAGCAGGAGCTCCAGGCACAGCCACAACATAGGAGTTAGTGCCTATTATGGGCATCAGGATCAGAGGTAGCACTCTGGCCAGCTTTACCCATACTCTCAGCTCCTGGAGAGCTCCGGTATGCAGGGATGGTTCAATATTCACAATCAATCAATCAGTCAATGTGATACATCACATTAACAAAATGAAGGACAAAAACCTTATGATTATCTCAACAATGCAGAAAAGCATTTGATAAAATTGATCACTCTTTCATGTGGTCATAATAAGCCAATTGGGTTTAGAAGGAACACTCTTCATCACAATCAAGGTCATTTATGACAAACCCATGGCCACCATCCTACTGAATCGGGAATGTTGCAAGTTTTCCCATGGAGATCCAACAAAACAAGGATGCCCAGTCTCACCATTACTATTCAATATGGTCCTGAAAGATTTAGCCAGAGCTGTTAGACAAGTAAAAGAAATCAAAGAGACATAAATTGAGAAGGAGGAAGTCAAATTATCCCTATTTGCAGATGACATGATTCTATAGATGGGGGATCCAAAGACACCACAGATGAATGGAACTCACAGATGAATTTGGTAAAGTAGGAGGATATAAAATCAACACACAATCAATACACAAAAATCAATAGCCTTTTTATACACAGACAATGCCACAGCTGAGAAAGAACTTCTAACATCAATCCATTCACAGTATCTACAAAGTCAAATCAAATACCTTGGAGTATATTTAACCAAGGGTGTCAAAGCTCTCTATGATATGAATTATGAAGCATTAAAGAAAGAAATACAAGAATATACAAAAAGGGAAAAATCTTCTACATTTTTAGATTGGAAGAATACATATCATCAAGATGTCCACACTTCCACAAGCAGTTTATGGATTCAATGTGATAATAATCAAAATACCAAGGACATTCTTCTAAGATCTAGAAAATAATGATGCTGAAATTCATATGGAAATATAGGAGGCCTGAAAATGCTAAAGCAATCTATTTTTTTTAAATTGTCACAGACATTACAGTACCAGATTTCAGGACATACTACAGAACAGTTAAAATCAAAACCGCCTGATACTCATACCAAAATACAGATGGATAGACCAATGGAACAGAATAGAAACACCCAAAATTTATCCAAGCATATACAACCATCTTATATTTGACAAAGGAACCAAAACCAATCCCTGGAGCAAGAAGAGTCTCTTCAACAAACGGTTCTGGGAAGAACTATGCAAGACCGATAACTTACACTTACACAAAAAGCCACTCAAACTCTTTTAAAGACCTAAATTACATCCTGATACCATCAAATTGTTAGAGAACATGGAGGAAACCTTGCAAGACATTGACATAGGCAAAGAGTTCTCAGAAGGACCCCAGAGGTACAGGCAACAAAGCCAAAATGGATAAATGGTATTTCAAAAATTGAGAAGATTCTGTACTGCACAAGAAACATTCAGCAAAGGGAAGGCAACTGACAGAATGGGAGAAATTATTTGCCACTTATACAACTGATACAGGATTAAAAACCAGAATATATGAAGAGATCAAGAACCTCAGCAACAACCAAACACATTGGTTTTTATACACATTGTGTATTAAGAAATGGGCCAAGGTCTTAAACAGGCATTTTTCAAAAGATGAAATCCAACTGCCCAAGTGACAAAAAAAAAAAAAAAAATAAGTGCTCAGGATCACTAGACACCAGGGAAATGCACAACAAACCACAATGAGGTGCCCTCACAATCATTAGATTGCCTTTCCTACAGAAACCAAGGAACAACAAAGGCTGGCAAGGATGTGGTGCAAATGGTACCCTAATCCACTCTGGGTGGGAATGTTAATTGGTAAAGACACTGTGAAAGATAGTATAGAGATACCTCAGAAATCTGAATGTATACCTACCATATAACCCAGACATCCTACTCCTGGGAATTTACCCAAGGGAAATGAAATCAGCATATGAAAGAATTTTCTGTACCACCATGTTTATTGCAGCTCAATTCACAAGACAGAAGATATGGAATCAACCCCAATGCCCATCAACTGAAGACTGGATAAAGAAATTAGAGGATAAGTACACCAGGGAACACTACACAGCAATAAAAAAAAAATGAAATCCAGTCATTTGCAACAAATTGGATATATCCAGGAAAACATCATACTTACTGAAACAAGCCAGTTCCAAAGGGACAAATACCACATGTTCTCTATGATCTCTGAAAACTAATAGAGCACCTAAACAGCAATCTGTAGAAGTGAAATTGACATTTTGAGAAGCAATGGCTTTGAAAAGCCTTTGTCTTGCCCGTTGAGGAACAGTCTGTTAACTGCAGGGAATTATACAGTCGGACTCAAAGTAAGGAGAAGAAATAGAAAACTAAAAACTACTGTTGGTGATCTACAACACACTATCAAATGACTCCACATATACTTTCTAGGAGTTCCTGAAGGCATGGAGTGAGAGAAAGAATTAGAAGGCCTTTTTTTGTGAAGTTGTAACAGAAAGTTTCCCTAATTTGGAGAAAGAAAGGGACAACTGAGTACA